AAGTGGCTTCCAATTACTATAAACTATGACTAGTTTTTAGAACTTATCTAATTGTTTTATTATATTATTACTATACTTTATCAATTTATAAGACTTAATGTATAAAAATATATTGTAGGACGTAAGAGGTACATACTATATTGTATGAACATAATTTACAATAGCATTAAAGTAAATTTGATTGTAATATTTTTACCAGTAAAATATAGTACTTATATTAAATTAAAATAGCTAATGTAAAAAATATAAGTCGGGTGTTGTGTAGACGAAGAGTGACAACATAAAATTGTCCAGTGGGATAATCTTCATTGGAGAGGGTTTGTAAAAGTTGCAAACACAGTCCCACGGGAAGTTCGATTTTCGAGGATGTCCAGTTTTCATAGGTCTCCGATGAATTGCAGGTAATAGACCTTCTTGCTGGCTTTTACTGCTTTCTCGTCATAAAAACTTGAAAGGGAGAAAAATGCATTTCCAGTGAAAATAACTAAAATCACGTACAAAATTTTTCGTCTAGGAATCGACATATTTTATAGCTTTTAACAACATCTCTGTAAATCCAAAGAATTTATTTTAGAAATAATAATAATAATAATAATATGTATAATAATGAATGAATAAAGGATAATTCTAATATTTCTCTTCTCTTTTTTTATTGATCATTCTCTCTCTTCTGTTATTGTTCAGAAGAGATTGATGATGGATTATTTAATCAAACACTATAGAGCGGCGGCTTTCAGTTCAGGTCAAAGGCAACAAGACCCGGTAGCTGTTCTGGATTAACACGGTGTTTCTCGCACTCTCTTAAAAATGTCGAACAAACAATAGAAATGAAAGAAGAAAAAAATTAATGTCTACGAATATAAAAAACAACGTTTCACGTGATCCGTAACGGAATGTTATTAATATAAAATGAGATCAACAGCCATTTGTATTTTACTTTGTATTTGAAAAAAAAGAACAATAACAGAACAAAAAAAAATATTTTAAGAATACTAAAATTCACTATAATATAATTTAAAAAATGTTAAATATTTTTTGCATATTTTTTTATTTATTTTTCTAATATAAACGATTCTGGAATTAAACTAGAAATCATATTTAAATAAAACCTATAATATCTGACTTAGTCAATGAACTATAACTATACAATCGTTGAAATATAGATAATATGAAAAAAGTAGTGCGTTTACAATTGAGTAACTAGAAAATGAGAGAATTAATGAAACCATTTTTTATACTTAAAATAAATTTATACTGAGTTTAGTTTAATGTTTCTCTATCTCTTATATGAAAAAATAACATCGCAAATACAATTAATTATATAAATAAGTATTAATATAATTTCAATTATAATTGTCTAGAAATAAAAGTTTTATATTTTTGAAATAAAAAAATAAAAAATGTATTCAAAACCATGTTAAAACCACTCAATAGTGTATTTAAATATTTTAAATACGCTAAATTTACAGCAAGATTATTACCTAGGTAAATAACATTTTTTATAAAATTCGATTTGAGTGAATTAAATAGGTGTTAAATTAAATTCTAAGCGTTTTTACTCAGTTTTATTATAATATCCGTACATATTATTGTGTCTTAAATCTTAATAATATATTGAATTACAGCCAATAAGACATAACATGGATCATTTTTGGTTTTCACCAGTCATATTACTCATATTGTTTTGATAAATTGGCGAATTTATGAAAAAGCGAGAATTGAAATGGAATGTGACTGACGGTCATTCGATACTTAAAATGTTTTTACACGAGCGCATGTGCAGTGTGCAACTACTCACAGAAAAACTCACACACATATATGCTCATAGTCATATATATAAGTCCATCTGTAAAAGCGAAAATGTTTTTCGAAAGAGAACCGGTAACCTAATAAACACGGTGTGTATATTGGTGCGGGGTCCAAAGTGCCGAGTGGCCGCCGACACAGCTCGTACAGTCCCGCGGGAACTTCCACCGCCTCTTCTGGTCGGGCAATTTGGTCAATTTGCTTCGTAAAAGAAGAGAAGAAGAACACAAGTGGCTGGCGCGCGCCAAGGGGAAACCGTTGTCATTGATAATTCCTCCTTTTTTTCCTCTCTTTCTATTTTCTCACTACACCTTGTCTGTCCCCTTGCGTACAACGAAACGCTAACGTTTTTATTTCCTCCACCGCCAATCAATGTGCACTGCGGGCACACCAGCTCGTGTGTGTAGGTGTATATATATGTTGTATGAACGTTAACTTCGTTTGCCTTTGAAACACGTTCAAGGGCTGCCAATACGACAGCGAAATTATTGCGTAATTTCTTGGACGCTGCAGTAATCAACGGTTGCGCTGTGTAACGATATACTTATATGTATTTGATTATCTGTGTCCATCAAAATATCAAAATACACCCGAATCTCAAATCATTATCAATCAATCTCCTAGCCTATCGTAACTCTTGATTATCACCGTAAACCTAAAAATATAATTTCAGCACTTAAAATGTATATATAACCCTCCACATGAGTAAAAATTAACCAAACGTTGACAACATAAAATGTATAGACATTTAATTTTTTTTTCCAATATACCTAGATAATATTATATAAGTAGTATCGATCAAAAAATTACTAGAACATTTGATCATCAATCGGTATTGTATAGTATTTACTCATGTGATGTATTATGATTTAGAAATGTGTTAATATATACGTTACTATTATATTAGATAGGCAATATTTTATTGAATACTAATTAGTTTATTTAAAAAAAATATCAACAATCTTTTATATATAGTTATGAAAACACAATATCAATAAAATATTATAATGATTAGTTTATCTTTAAGTACCTCCAGAATATATAAAATTGTCAAAACTAACAAAATATTTAAATTGAACAATTATTTCATCATCGTATTTTATGACATAGCCATTAAGGTACTAAATAAATAAAAACAAAACCCCATTCTTATGTCACTAAATTTAAAATGTCTTATTGTAAATATCTAATGTAATGATTAATTTTATTTCAATAATATTATTTCATCTTATTAACTCAAATGCGTTGTGTCAGAATGTTTTATGATTAGAATTATCATGCATATATTATAAAAAATAGTTGATAGTTATGCAATTTTTTAGTAATTGACTATTGTCAAGTATTATTTATCAATGCATATCAAATGTAATTGATTTAAATCACAATTAAAAATTTCTAGTATACATATATCAATAACAATAGATAAAAATAAATATCATGTTATTTTTATACTTTATAACAATAATAACTTAAATTCATTGTCAGAATGTATATACAATACACATATAAGCTTCTAAGTATAATATTAGAGGATGATATCCTAAAGTATATTTTTGATTAAACGTATAGTAAGTATATATATAATATATGACTCGGATGCAATTGATTATATGGAGAGGGTAGTGTTGGGTCAAGTCACTCCCAAGGGAAATCGGCAAATATCGGTGGACATTATTTTCCCCTTAAAAACAAACAAAGTCTTATTAATTTAAATTCGTTTTCTTCTAATAACTTCTGGGGTCTTATATGTTATATATTTAATTGATACCCGACGTTATAATTATATTTTACCTAAGTTCATTCCCCATCACACTCGTTGTCCGGTTGTCATGACATAAAAAAAATGTTTATATCGTAGCGTTAACTTATTATTTATTATTATTTTTTAATGTTACATTGACAGTATTTTTTTCTTGATCGCTCATGACACAATATATACTAAGCGGGAAATTTATTGCTTTTCTGACCAGGTTGTTAGTGAGAAATATGATACGATCGGTGTAAAAAAAATTTAACTTATATAATTTAACAATAAACGATTTATAATACCGAAAATGGTCGTGTCAGAATATGATATGAATGATCACAATAATAAAAAAAAAATGCATACCCGCTTATTGTCGTCTATGCAATAAAATGATCTTCGGGCAACACGCATTGCTCATAAATATTGAATATTGACTGCCGACTGCCCGCTATCGTATTTAGATCATCTATTGCATCAGTCGTGTATAATACTTCAGTATCAGCCAATCACGTTTATAAATACTAAAAAAAATCGATTAAAAATAAAAAAAACCTTCAATCGACTTCAAATAATGTATTTAAAGTTTATTAAATATTTAAACTCGAAAATCAATTGATTAAAAGGGGTTCAATGTATAAGATTAGTTATATAGTATTAGATTCAGATATTGGTACTTATTTAAAATAAACAAATTAATGAAATAAATTGTTAAAATCGGTAAAATCGGTAAAATCAAAATTCTCGAGATAATTAACTTATAGGTATTCTTGTATAGAATATTTGTATACATTAAATTTAATAAGCTACAGTTACTATATCATCCACATCGTTGGACATAGCGACAGTAGAATTATTATCCGTATGAATAAGCAATTCGAAAATTCGTGAAGGTCAGAATTTTAAACGCAACATCACGCTCTCTTGCACTCAGACATTATACTTATGGTTACTATGCTACATAAACGATATACACAACAACGATAACGAAATAATAATAGGTATGTATAAGTTTAACGATACAACATATATGATCAAAAAACCGGTAAATTTGAATTGTTGACAAATCCGGAAAATAGTAATAATAGTTAGCCGGCGCGCAGTGTGTGCGATATGATGTACATCGACGCATGTGACTCGAATATAACGCTCGGGGGTTCGTCCGTCTATTCCGTACATGGACTCGTCCGGTTACTTGATCAATATTATTGACGAAGACGACTACGTGTGTATGGTTTAATAATTAAAAACGAACTCTCGACAGCTTGTGCATTTTAATCGTCAGGCTTATAATATGTTTCAGCAACAAGTTCCATTAAATTTATTATTCCCATTAATCGATGTTATGTGTGAATAAACTTCTTTTAAAGCTTATCGGCTATCTATGGTTTTTAATTTTAATTTGTTTTTATTTATTATTTTTATTATTATTTTTTTTTTTTTTTTTTAGAATACTCGAGTTGAGAAAAGAAAAAAGTCGAGACGCAGCTAGGTCAAGACGGGGCAAAGAGAACTACGAGTTCTACGAGCTGGCCAAAATGCTTCCGCTGCCTGCAGCTATTACGTCACAGTTGGACAAAGCGTCCATCATACGGCTGACAATATCGTACCTGAAACTGAGGGATTTCTCAGGCCACGGTGACCCACCGTGGACTAGAGATGGCCCACAATCCACATCTAAAAACCTAAAAGGTATAGTAACATACATATCTATATTATACTGAATAATTAATGTCAGATGTCTATGTGAGAATCGATGGTATAAATTAATACTTTATAGTTATAAATATAACTTTTACTCTTCTAAACAAATTATTAGTTATAATATCTTTGATGTATAATTGAAGATTTTTAATAGAATTAAAACGTTCTATATTACAGACTAAAGAGTAACGTTTCTTTTAATATAGTTTATTTTTCGTGGGGTTGATGCCTGCACTTGTCGTGGACATTGCTTTTGACAATCACTAATTTGACGGATTCAGTTAAACTGCACCGACGACCTTATGGTTAAATCGCGTTTTTTCTTCCGGGTGCGCGAGTACAGTTTTTTTGGGGGTCGGAATAAGGAAGACAAAAATAACTTTTACACTTGACCGGCATTCAATTAAAGGGCAGATCTGTTTGAAATTTTAAAAAAGGGACTAAACATATATAATTTTCAGTATTTTCGTTATTCAATAAAAGTATAATAATGTATTCTTTATAGTTTTAAATTATACGATGTAATTTACAAATATTCTTATTTCCACGTATATAATTTGAACAAATTATTATTAAGAGCATCCTTAATTTACATAAATATTGACAGAAATTACCTTCTAAAAAATTAACATTAATTTCTTAACACATTATTTAATGTATTAGATTTATCATTACCGATGCAAATTATGCTGCTTTATTCGAGTAAATAAATTCAAACCATGAACAAAAACATGCACATTTTATCGCATTATACGTTTTGTTACGCTACAAGAAATAATCGTCTAATCAAATTATTACTACTACAAAAGGGCATACATAGTGCCTCGATAATTTAAGTAGATACATATTATATTATTTGAATTCAAAAAATATATATATATAGAAAATAAAATGTTAAGTTTTAATATTTATATCTATAAAAACGAAATATTAATAACAAATATTTTATATTTATTTTTCTAAATATATTTTATTGTTGATAATATTAGTCATGTATAATGTAGGTATAATAAATTATGTTTGTAAACTTATGGTAACAAACATGATTTATTCAGGTTTTTTGAAATTCCTTCGATTTTTAAAACTTTAAAATCACATTCTTAAGTAGTTAAGTACACTTTGTTGACACGTTTTACGTTTAATAATCCTATAATCTACCATGACAAACTTCGTTTTTGAAATACACCTCTTTAATTTTTATAAGAGACGATGACCACACTATGACCATCGTACAAATGTCAATCAAAACATTACGAGCTTGGTGTAATTCGATTTTGCGTTTAAATGCACTCGTCGAACGGTCAAGTAAATTCGTTTATTTTACCCAACGTTTATCGAATTACGCGTTATCGAGTGTCCGTCGGGACTATATAAGCCCGCGGGTGACAGCAGTCTTTTCATCAGTGTAGACTGTGCGTGTTATGTATGATGTGGTTTTACACACAAAATATATTGTAGATACCCTCAAACAGTACTGCTAAACATTCGATTTCATCAATTTTTATAAATACCTACTTTTTTTAATTCAGTAATTATTTTCTATTTCTTCGAAATTCAATGAATTTATCTAGGTATATATTTATTACGAAAATTATGGCACAAAAATAATGGTTTTTAGTAAAATATATTAGTAATTTCTACGAGTACGGCCCGATGCAATTTTACAGTAAAAATAGATATGGGTTATTGTATAATTTTCAGATGCATACAAGAGCAATAATCATAGTATAGTGTATAGTGATAACATAATACTCATATAATATTATATTGTAATATTTTCCGGTTCGTTTGATCGGCCGCAGCCGCGGGTGCTGCACGAACGATTGACTCCGTGTACATATTATGCAGTGTCCCGACTTCCGATAATGATGATAATAATAGTAATAATAACAGTAACAGTAACAATAATAATAATAATGATGATGATAACATTGGTGTATACGTAAGTCGTGGGTGCGCGCGCACACAATACGGATCTAACTAGCTTAAACGTCGCGTCGCCAATATTACGCGTATAAAAGAGGGTGACGGCGGTAGTGTTATTAGATTAACAAGGAGGCACCCACAGCCGACATCCCCGTGACAGCGTGCGCAACTTATACACATGCACATCCACACAAAACTCATACACACGCGCTTATACGATGAAATTTGCGTACATTATAAACGAACACTTTGTCACGAGCCAATTTGCATACGTAAGAGGCGCGAACGCGTAATAGGTTTTGTGACAGAAGAGGGCGATAGGCGTGGTCAAACTCGAAAATCATCGAGCGTATCTCAACGTTAATAATAATAATAATCGTAATAATAATAATGATTTATGTTCACGGTTTAATTATTATTGTATTGCTCTCGTCGCAAGATCGCCCATCTATCCGTCAACGTGCCGTCGAAGTCTTAGGCCACCCGCGTACATACAAATTATTGGCCAGCGACACACAGCTGCACCGATTTTTTTACCCCGATAAAATATAACATTATGCATTTTTTTTTTTTAAGTCAATGTATTATATATTTTATTTGACATTATTGCTATGTATTATTATAAATTATAATTATGATGTAGGTATTATTAAATCATAAAATGACTTTGCCGAAGTAGCCCTGTGAGGGTCGACCTAGTCTCATCTCGTGAAGTTGATCCGTTAAGTCACTTACCTCGTGTTCGATTTGACCTCACGAAATCAGTAGGTATCCCAAAAAGATGAATAAAACTATAATAAATATCAATTGTTTAGGTTTATTATTGCTGCTTCACGCGCAAAACTGTTACCAGGACAATTTCTAATGTCACGTATCAATTATCGTATATGGTTGCATTGTCTTATAGTCACTATATAGCCATATAGTCAAGTATCTATTTTTGATTTTAGATTCGTTGATATTCGTATTTTATTTTATGTGTTATGCTATTTTATATTAATTTTCTATTTTTTCTTCTCTTTCTTTTCTTTTTTTTTTATCAAAGTACATTGTATTAAAACGCGTTGTTATAGCAGTTGACATCATGCAATTATTTCATATGGTCTTTTCCAAAAATATATCTAATAGACATTTTTATTATGTTGTATGCATTTTTAGGTATAGCGTAGTCATTTGTGACTCTTGAATAATGTTTACGTGAAATAAAGAAAAAATACACTTCAGTCTAATAAAATAATATATTACGATTTTTAATTACAAATGCATTTAAATAACTTAAACAATAAAAGTCTTAAAAATAATATACATTTTACTAACGAAATACAAATATAGAATAATATAGATAATATTGTGGTCAGATGTAACTATATTGATCTCCCTACAATAATTTTACGATGTATAAAAATTGTTAGTCGTCATAACATCATGTGAACATGATGATTATAAATTCTGTTTAGAATTAATTGAATTATCCATGTTAGTTAATGAGTTAATTTTAAACATCATTTATTTGATATAAATATTTTCTACTGTCTCCTAGTTTATTTTTATTTTTATTGATTATTGCTATTCTCATATCATATACTTAGACTATACCGGTGAATGTCGTGAAATATTCTAGGGAATGCTTTCTAATGACAGTGACAAAACACAGTAACTATATAATACATAAAATAATTCAGAGCTTTCTTGTACGGTGACACAATAGGAAACTAGCGTGTAAAAAATAAAAAAAAAAATAGAGGGACAAGGACGCAGAAGCTAAAAGAACAAGAGACAGTTAGTAATTTGTGACTCGTGTCTTAGAAAAAAATGACAATTCTTTCCACGGATATCAGCACGAGACTCGAGAGCACATGCCCATTGTCCAATACCTAGGCCGCCAAACTCATCTCTCTCCACGGTCAATCATCCGATCAATATTTATGTCGTACCACCGTCACGGCAATTATTTTGATTACACTTCTTACCAGCAAAAATGTTATACATGCTATCGACATCAACATTATTATCACTATTGTATAGCGTACTTTAGATTGCTATCATCCACTGAAATACGCCTAACTCCATTACATCTTGTCTGGTTTGAAATACTATAATTTCATTGTAACTATTTCAATTTTTTTATTTTCAGAATCAAAATAGATAACTCTAATTCTAAAATGGTACATCTAATAATAAACTTATTTAAACATTTGGCACATTATATTTTATATAATAAGTTTTTCAATAACACTACCCCATTTATTAATTATTATTTCTAGAAGTTTTCTTATAAAAAAATAATATTTAAGATTTTATATTATATACATGCTATTAATTCAATCATAATACATCTATTTTATTTTAATTCATCGATATTATATTATTAGATTAATACATTATAAGGTAAAATTATGTATAAATGTATGTAAAAATATACATTTAGCTCTTACAATAACACTACATTTTGGATCATGCGGTGAAATCGTCACTATACTATGTGGTTTTAAACTAATAATAATTTCGTGTTGACAATATCTCAATAACCACAAAATTTGATTATAATTTGTGGGTATAATAATTGTAATAATATTTTCGTCAAACAAATCTGGCCGACATCACTTTAAAGCAAATTAAGAGTGCCTGGGGGTTTGTTATCATCACAAAGAGGAACTTGGGGTGAGAAGAGTTTAAAACACTACCCGACTGATTGCTGGAATCCATGAATAAACCTTAAGCTAACTGAGTTAAATATGAGGGGAGGACTTTAAACATTCCCCCCTTTCTCTTTTTATTTTTGTGGTTTCAATCAGCCACCCGCAAAATAGGGGGACGGGATTTGTTAAACACACACGCGCGCACCGACTTAAGTTAATTTGGATAACAAAGGTGCACTTCTCAACCCTATGTATATATATTTATTTGTGTTTACAGCCAAGCAAAAAAAAAGATAAATTTAAAAAACTTATTTAATAACAAGTAGGAGAGATTGAATTACAAATTTTCACCTGTTAAACATTGATCAATTTATTATATTTGATAAACCTTTGAAATCTGTAGTTGGTATATTATGTGAAGTGGCAAAGTTAGAATTTAAAAATTATTATTTATAAGATTATTTTAGTTATAACTTATATTTATATATTTTAATAACGATAAAGTATTTATATATATTACTTATAAATTATTTAATAATAAAGGCTTACTTGGCTATAGAAGTATAACAAAATCATAATTACAAATTAATGTAAAAATTACTCTTTTTATGATATTTACAATTTTTTAACGAGATAAAAATATGTAATCGAGCATTCACCCGCAATACCTTTACTATTATTTTAAATAAATATCTACTTATATCTCACAATTAATATTCTTGATTTATTTATTAATGTATTTGTTTAATCTACTATTATTATTATAATGAATTCCAATCGGATTTAAACCACTATAAAAAATAATAGATCAAAAATAAATCTGGCAATAAAAAGTTATATATTTTTCTTGGCCTAAAATAATATCTAAAAGTACAATTTACAAAAACTAATTTCATATTGTATTTGACACTCATATAGCATATATTCCAAAAGTTGGGAATTTTCCCCTTAGTAAAAAGAACAATAAATAATTGTTGACACCGCCAGGAACACATGTGGTAGTTGTCCCAAGGGACGATTCTCCTGCTACAATACTTTATGGTCTCTGGTAGTGGTGGTATAGACGATATTAGTATTTGGAATATGATAGGCATACCTATATATGCGTTGTCATAAGCATTTTTGTAAAAACAACAATGTATCTGTAACTGAACAAACGAAGATTAATTCATATTACACGTTTAAAATAAGTACATTTTTAAAAATAAATGTCCTTAATAATTTCAGAATTATTTATAGACTTGCTATTGGTTCGATTATTATACCGATTAATAAATGAGGGAGATATGTTATTAATACCAACACATATTATTACGCCAAACTGTTTGTGTAAAGTAAACGACCAAGTTGCCAAATGAAAGTCGCAAGGGTGCTTAGGGGACGAAAATGTTTACTCAGTTGAGGATTAGGATAGACTTTTTTGATTAAACTGGACGTATTTATGTAGGGGCTATGGAAACAGTTCTTATTTGAGGGAAATGATATGATTTTGCGCATTTAATGAAAAAAATACACAAACTGGATACCATATAATAATGTATACTATGTGTGATAAACATTAACTAGAAAATATAGAAAGTTTATACATGTTTCAGGAACCTCAGCTCGAAACAGATCTCCTAGTACCATAGCCTTGGAATTGTTTGAACAGCACCAAGGCACTCATATACTTCAAGTAAGAAATTTAAATATACGACTTTAAACCTCCTTGATACTATTAAAATTTCTTATAATTTTTACAGTCACTAGACGGTTTTGCGTTTGCGTTGGCTTCCGACGGACGATTTCTATACATATCAGAAACCGTGTCAATCTACCTAGGTCTTTCTCAAGTGAGTATTTTGAAATAAATCGTACAATATTAAAGCATATTTGTTACTCAATATTTTTTAGTATAGGTATATTATAAAACAACATAAATGCCAAGCTATATATTATTGAAGTCTTATACATCCCATACAACAAACTCCCCTTCAATAAAGGCATATATATATATAATATGAGTCGGACAATGTTAATAATTACGCTTAACGCTGTTCTACTTGTAACAACCGAGAAACACTTTGCTCCCTCATATACCACTATGTTTAATATATTAATCCAGTTTTAACTAAATAACAATATATAATTGCATAATCATTTGAATACATTGCAATAACGCGGGGAAACTTGATATGTACATGTGAAACAATACCATAGTATAATTTACATCAAACACTACCAATTTAACTCGGTATTGGCTTTGGTAAAAATTCAAATTTAAATTTTCCTTTTGCTAAAAACTCAATACAGTATTTTTAATAATAGTTATTTTTATCTAATACTTTAAGTAATTCAATATAGATAATTAGTATGATATATTTTCTCGATTCTTTCAAATATGTTAAATTAACGTAATGACATTAAAATAAGTTCACATTTTAATTAATTTAAAATTAAATTATTTCTGATTTGTGCATTGTTTTTCAAATGTTTTTAATATTATAACGTTATCTATTGCTTTAAAATATATTTTATTTCCTGTATTCTCTTGATTATGTATAATTGTTATTTCTTTTAAGTAAACCAAACTATATTTTTAGAAATACACTTTTTTTTTTCATAGAAATATTTAACCACAATTTACTGTTTAAATATCTCGTAGTTAAAATGATGAATTAAAATTATTATTTGTATTTTCCGAAGAAATTATACCTGTAAAAAAAATGTTTATACGATATTACTATGTACACAAATTTAACTATGACTCATTAATATTATATTAGAATGGTATATTTTTATAGACATAATTATTTAAAACAAAAGAAAAATAGTTTATTTACCAATTTCTTATATTTATCTTGTCAAATAAAAATTATAAACAATTATAGTTAACTAATATATCATTAGATATACATATAAAAATAATACATAAGTGATCAAGGTTATTTATATATATATATATATATTTATATTTCATAAGATTTCAAATAGTTACATAACATAATTTATTAACTCTGAATTTCTCAAAAGAATATATGTCGTATAAACTTAATTATGTACATTTTTTAGTCTTATTTACATAAAATTCATATTTTTAGTTTTTTTATTTAGTATTATCAACTAGTAAATATTTTCGTCTTATTTCCTGTATGTTCTCGTCAGGATGAACCATAAATATTATACTTGTATTTTTTTTAAATTTATAATTTTCAGGAGTGTTAGTTTTTAATAATATAACCATTACACATATATAGTATACATCCATATTCCAAAATACCAATGTTGTTTAGTTTGTTGGGCGAAATGTGATGTAGAAACAATCGTCAGTTCTAAAAACCAACCCTGCACACCATAGTCTTGTGTACAGGCCACGTCAAAAGCGCAAAAACCCTGGGTCTCCCCCGTGTCGGCCTTTGCAGCATAGCTATTGATTGTGTCAGGCGGGCGAGAGAGAGTACGGTTCGGAATTACGAATGAGGAACACGCTCGCACGGCTCAAGTGTACGTGAGTCGAATTCGAGTCGAGCTGAAACCCACCCGCGCAACCTTTAAAACCCGTCAATCCTCCCTTACCTTTCACTATGATAGGGTGATGAGGGGGGAATGTTTGTAGACCATGCGCACAGCCCTATGTATATAGACTAAATTAACGTTACGGACGGTAACAATGATGGACGATTCGGGAAGATTTTTCACTAAGTCCAAATAGTTTAATTCCTCTAGTAACGTACAGTCATATCTCAAAAAGCTTTCAAATGTCAAACTGCTATGTTATAGTTCCTTTACTTATCAGTGTTATTTTTTTTCAGGTAGAGATGACCGGTAGTAGTGTGTTCGACTACATTCACCAAGCTGATCATTCTGAGCTGGCTGAACAATTAGGCCTAGGATTGACTCAAGGCCAAGGGATGGCATCACCGTCGCCCAGTAGTGCCGGCTCCGAAGAAGGAAGTTCCAATGTAGGCACAGCAAATCCCGATGGTGAGTTTTCATCCCTTCAGTCAACGGTAGCCACACTCTACAACGTTTCACGTGATTAGCCACACGCTCACCCTGAGTGTTTTTTATTGCCCCGTCACGCCGTATAGAACACTGAAATGCAATCCAATTTATAACCAAAAAATAAAAATAAAAAACATCTAGTCCGAGGGAAAAATTAGTTTGGTCCTTTTTAAGTTACAATACGCTCTATCCGATAGTGCGTGACGGAGTATTTTTACGAATTGATACGAGGGGCTATGATTTTAAACCTAATACGAGTTCACACAATATAATTTTACTCAAGTACTAAATTTAAAAAAAGATGTACTAATTGAAATTGTTTTAATTCTGTCGAAATTATTTTTGGACTTAAATCATAGATCTTTTATTGTCTATAACTTAAGCATAAAATTTTTATTATAATATGTATAATATATTTAAATAATGAATATATAAAAACATAATCGTTTTTCACACACTATCCACCGATCGTGTGCTTATAGTTTGGAACATTATAATATTGTACAGACTTTCTGAAGTATATAAGGAAGCACGGATCATTAGTTTGGCCACAAATGGTCGTGACTTCAAATACATAATTATATAAGATTGTATTCCATTGCTGTGTAATAAATAATATTATAAATTATAATGCTGATATACATAATAATATGAATACGATTGCCAAAAAATTTATTTTTCTAATAAATGGGTATTACAAAAATTATTTTATAGGATTCTTAATAAATAAATAATAAAAACTTTGCATCACTTATAGGTATTTAAGTAAACAATAATTTTTACATTTAAAAGAGAAAAAAATGGATGATTAATAAATTAATTAATAATAATATTAAAACGAATAGTTATTTCCAATGAAAAATCAAATACAAACATTTATTTTAGAGTATTACTATAATTATTACTTTATAATATTATTTTCAGTTTCGTCAGTGATGTCTCTATCCAGCACAAATGCATATAAAGGCTTAGATAGAGCGTTTTGCATTAGAATGAAGTCGACGCTGACTAAACGTGGTTGCCATTTCAAATCCTCCGGATATAGGGTGAGCTTACATATATATATACTTTTCTAATACGGATATTATTACCGTCGTATAGGGTGTGGAATTATACATTTCATCCCATTTTCCCAGTAATATATAAATTCTTTCATTTGAAGGGGTAAAGTGTAATTTTCAAACCAAAATTGTAGTAAAGGGTTGATGGTTATGTGATTATTAAGCTTAAAACAACCGAAAACGAGTGCGTCATACTATAAGTACCTATAGTTTGAAAATATTTCGATTCTAATAATCGTCAGAAATCCCTAATTTCGCTACACTACGAAATTGTATTGATATAACTGTATATTTTTGTATAAAACTACTTTAATTACTTAAACCTTAACAAAAAATTAATACTTACAGTATCTATTTAAATAATATTTCAAAATAAAATGTATTTCCGTACACAACTTCAATACTTGAACAATCATATTAAATTCTATAAAATACGAATGACTGTGTTGATCTCATGAAACAGGGGATTCAAAATAAAGACGGGGAAAATACAAGGGTTGAAAGAAAATTCTACCCCAAACATAAATGATGATTCATTGAAACCACTAAAAATTAGTACTTTTGTTCGAAATACTTGTACCATTTTAATTGGATATCTCCTCGAGCACCCAAGCTATGGTTTTCAGTATAAATTTAACAACAAGAGAAAATAAAATGAAATTATCAAATGTCTTAGAATGTTTTTTTTTATTTATTGTTATTTATTTACACTACAGTATTTATGCATAAAGAATTACTACCAGTTTGTGTGTACGTAACACATAATGTACTAGATAGACTCGTATAAACACATGGTCAATGATGCGTTTACAAATTTCATACTTTAGCAATCTGTCACCACAAAATTGACCGCTGCTTAAATATATACATAGATATAATATAGTATAAAGCACGTATGTATGTTTACATATGTGGCGACAATGGCAAAGAGAAAGCTATTTAAACGATGATAAAACAGCATTAACACTGATATTGTAACAAAAACAATTATTATAATGCACAATTGGTGTTTCACAATGGTTACATAAGAGTTTCATTTTAAGTTAATAAAAACAATTAAACATTCGATAAATGAAAGAAAATAGTCATTATAGATATCTATTACTTATACAGTTATTACATCACGGTATTATTCACCCCTAGGTGGTAATTTTTTCATCTTGATTTTTAGTCTGCTTCTAGTACACTAACAAAACCAAGATATCGGTTAAATAACCATGGATAATTATTATACTTGGGTCTGTAGATGATGGACGAGAGAAAAATCTCAATGATTTTTTTTATATACATAATATATGTAGGTATATAAAAACACGCATGTATGTGTGTGTGTTTGAATGATTTGGGTTTTATGGACGAACAAATCTGATAATTTTGTTAACGTCTACTCTGAATGAACCTAATTAATTAAGTCGCCATAGATCCGTGAACGTTTTGTTTTAAAAAAACAACTCCTTAAACAAGTTTGCACGAAAAGAACAATAGAAAACAATTTAATAACAATAATTGTGCATGTCATGCGTTTGATCATTTTATTCCGATTTCATTAAAGCCCGAAAGAATTAAAGACAAAAAGCAATCGACACTTTAGTATTCATCAGTAATATACACAATTCGATTCACATAACTACGATAAAAAAAACAATAACTATAGTCGGAAGCGTCCAAAAAAAAAAAAAAACAATAATAATAATCATCATAATAAAAGTGTATCTCATAACGTGTAAACGTTTAAAGTATAGTAAAACGAAAATTGAATGACCGAAATAGGCGGCCGACTTAAGACTGTTGTTAGGATGTACAAATCATATCCAGTGATCGTGATGAGTATACAAGAGAGAACCTCTGGTTACGAGAGGTTGTTTTTTTTACCTCTTTTTTATGTCATTTAGGTACGTGTCAAAACTGTTGATGTCGCGTTAACCACTGTTTTTTTTTCACACGCCACAACAGCCGTACATTATATGTATGATGTATATCATACGATATTATTAAGGCGATAAAAACTCGTCGACAATCTTATACTGTATAATAATATACACCATATAGTAATATACTAATATATACACACGCATCAACCATCACACAATTACACAAACTATTAAATTTTAATTTGCTAGGAAGTTTGTTATTCTTATCGAAAACTCACGATCTTACTTTATGTCTCAGGTGGTGCTGTTGATTTGCAGACTGAGGCCACAGTACACGTTTTCGCACAATCGGAAATGTGCGCCACCGCTTTTAGGCGCAGTGTCTCTGGCTATCGCGCTACCCCCGCCCAGCGTGCATGAAATCCGACTGGAAACTGATATGTTCGTCACAAGACTATATTTCGACTTTCGAATAGCTCATTGCGAACCAAGGTAATTATATCGATGAGATGTTCATATTTCTCTGATTATAAATATTTTTAGAAAAAATTTTAGTTTCAATGTACAAAATAATACAAAAAGTTCAAAAAAACTGCACCAATTTACAACTATAGTTCGAAAAAATATGTTTATTATTTATAACAATATTTTATACTTATAATTTATTGTAACATTATATTATATATTCATCAGTAAGTCAGAGATTATGAACTGCAGTACAATTTTAAAACGTACAAAAACCGTGAGACCCATTGTTGTTGAAGATAACTTCATTTTGAGTTCTCATATATATATATGTATAGATACGCAAATGTACTAGCTTATAACGATGATTTATTATTATCATAGGGTGGCGGAAATACTAGATTATACGGCCGACGAACTGACTGGTATGAACATGTATACCCTGTGTCACGGCGAGGACGTGGGGAAACTCCGAAAATGTCACCTAGACCGTAAGTATATATACTACGACATGCATGCATATAACATTACAGCCATCAACTTTATAATATATTATAACACAATACAGTCATTACTATAGTTTTGAATGGTACGACGGTGTGCATTGTAATAGTATACGCGCTGCAGATACAAATAAAAATGTAAAATAATATAATACGGGTCTCTGGGCAATAGTTAAAGTATCGTATATTTTATGGTGACTTGGTAGGTAGGTAGCAGGTAGATAAACTTCAACTAGATATACCTCCTACCTATGATATATATTATAATATCTCGTGTTAACGGGCATATAAATGGTGGCCATTTATATTTATACGCGATCGTAATTGAATAACGACCGGAAGAGCGTCATCAGTATTCAGAACAGTAATACGCACCAAGTATAATATTATAATATGTACTTACCTATTTTGTCTTCACCGAATACATCGTACACGAGACGATGACTCTTGTTGGTGGACGACGATAACATCTAACGTGTGGCCATCGGAGTAATGGCTATATGGTCCGGTAATAGGGGGAGGGCGGAGCTTCCGGTGCGATACCTGCCCGGCATATTTCAACGGGCGCAAGTATCTCTGTAGCCGCGCGTGTGTATTATCATCATTATTATCATCATCACTGTAGTCGTCATGTTCAGTACATATAGATATAAAAAAAGTACTAACGTATTGTTGTATGGGTATTATAGTGCTGTATTGTACTATTTTGCCATGCAACGATAAATCTGTAAAGGAGGAACCAACCATTTTTGTGTTTTATATAATATTATATACGTAGTTGGTGCGTAGGACTATATAGGTACGTTTTACTCGTCTTCGTACAACTAATGCTTGGAAATTATGTTATTGGAAGTGGCGGATTTACGTGGGTCGACCTCAAACGTCAAAATAATATACTGCACAACAATTTTTAATTATTTTATTTTGTAAAATATACATAAAAATGTTTAATTTCAATTAATGTTGGTAGTACAATCACATGAATAAAAATATAGTCAATAATTCTTTTCTTTCTTTTAAGATGTAAATAATTCTTTTTAAATGTATACAATTTTCGTGGACCTGGCCACCAAGAAAAGTGTTGGAAATACTTCATTGGATATATAAAAATATATAAGAGGATGTCCTATAAATATTACAAGATACAAAAGAGAAATTTAAGATACAATATGTCCACCGACCACCGCAGTCACTAATGCTATTATATGCTGTATAGGTAGGTCGGTAATACTGCAATCAACGGAAAAACAATGTCCATTTCGTCATAGTCAAGTCGGATGAGTTGAATACTTAAATATTATTGTAGCGCCGCCATAGATCCGTCTTCCCAAAATTAATCCTTAAATATTCCACTCGAGTCGCGTGCAAGTGGCTTTCGGACAATAATAAAAATCGGATATTATATTGTTATGATATGAATTATTCGTTGTGTGTCTGTATAGACATTATATTTTATATAAAACTATTTCCATTTGTTCATTTTAAACTGTGAATTTTCTACCTACTTATACACTTTATTACAACAATAGCTGGATATATTAATGTAGCCATGTGCCCATATTGGTTCCGACAAACAATATATATAATTTATAATTATTTACTTACATAAAATTATAGTGACTATACTAAATGCATGTGTTGGATTTTTTCATATTTGGTTAAACACATTTTTTTAATATAATGGATTGCATACAATTGTATACATATATTTAGTTTCATTAACTGTTAGGTATAACTACTTAATATATTATTCTAACTTCAAATACATAATATATTATGTATAGTTATAACTTATAATCTTAGTAATATTTCATTGAAATTAGTTAATATTTTTAACAGCTATTTTATGTTAATTTACAAATTTAAAAATTAACAATATGAATAGTATAATAATATAATGCAGTCGAATCTAAAAAGTATAATGTAAACCTAACCTAATACTTATATAAAAATATTTTATGTATCACTTATATAATTAAATTAGCACTTTTATTTATTTTTTTCAGTAATTAACAAAGGACAAATGATGACGCACTACTATAGAGTGATGAATAAAAATGGTGGTTACACTTGGATGCAGACGTGCGGTACGGTCGTCTGTAACTCGAAAAACGCCGAAGAACAGAACATCATTTGCGTCAACTACGTAGTCAGGTAAGTTGTAGATTATTTTAAATTTTAACCCCGCGTCAATTAGGTGTGTCCCCTCGTTTTGTATTCAGAACATTCGCCAGCTATAAAAAAAAATTTAAAAAAATGTGCGTAACATTATTCAAACCTCTGCGGAATATTGATCGTGGTGTATAATATTATGTATAATGTATTGATGTATACCTGTATATGATGATTTTAGTGCCAGAGAATTCGACAATTTAATAATGGATTGTTGCCAAATGGAAGAACACATTAGGCAGAGGGTGGTGAAAAGAGAAGAAACAGGAGGCAACGACCCTGAGAATGGTTCACCCGATGGTGGTGGTGGTGGTAAGTGTGGTCATCATATAGATTGTATGACTAATATGAGTCTAATATGGCAATGGTTTAAATTGGATATCGGTTATTTTTAGATGGACGAGGAGGAAATCCTAGAAGAGATCACCTGACACCGGCTGACCTGGACGATGGTCATTCGGCAGACGGACAAGGTGATCCGACAAGAGGGAGAAATCATGTGGACATAACCCAATTAAACAACGCGCCTTCCGAACGACTACAAGTGAGTTAAAATGAACAATATCGTAGTTTAAACTATTTATTACAAGTGATAATTATATTAGTATATCTTATGATGATAACGTAATTCAATTGATACAAAAGTAAATATGAAGTAGATAATATAAAAGTTTGTGAAGACTATGTTTAAATGAATACTTTTGTTCCCAACCAAGTAAACTAAACTTGGATTCATATATTTATAAATGTATTAGAGTATTAGTTTTAATTTTATATCACATCTTTAAGGCTATTATTTTTAAGTTTTTACAAAATTCTTCTACAAACCTACTTGTACTACTTTTTCTACTTATGTGAGCGATATGCCAGTTGACCTGTGTGATTTTTCTTGCGTTTTTATTGAAATTAACATGTTACTTATGAGTTATGACATAATATAGTTTTTCGAATAGCGAGCAAAATAATCCTAAAAAACTATAAAAGGAATTATACTTTATTCTCGCCTTTTACTAGCTCAACATTTTTTTTATTTTTCATTTTGTATTTATGTGTTTATAATCAATGATTATATATTATAGTGCCTAATATACGCGTTACTCCTATCAGGTTATACCAGAGATAAGAAATTCAAACATAGAAGTTTCATTAGACTTTCATTCAATTGGATTACAGTTTAAGCGTTTTTTAAATTACCTGCATCATACCTAAGTATTATATTATATGTTCCTACTTGATCCATAGTTTTAATTGACCTCGTCTTCTTGTCTGTACGTCTCACGTAAACGAAATCCCTGTGGTCACTAAACTATCTGTTTTCTCAGTACACTTAAACCAGTTAAACCTTATCCCATGTATGAGAATAAAGTTTAGTTACCTATTGATTACTATAAATCTATAAACTTATAAATATAGGGCCCTATTTGGGCCTAAAAGAAGCGTTATAGTTTTTTAATTGTATATAAGACTATATACGTTCGTATGTATGTTGTTTATTATTTATTCTGTACAAATAATTATCATTTTTATTTTAAGGCGGGAAAAATACCTGCCTCGGGATTCAAAATTTCTGATTACTGCCTTGGCATCTATTCATTATGCATATATATTATGTAACATTTTATCCTCTAGATAATGGTTGATATTTATTTGTAATTTGTTGTCGTTTTAGCTGAACAACAACAACAACAGCATAGGAATACAACCGAAAAAGTCGGGCAACGACAAACGGAAAGCACACAAAAGGAAAATCGCCGATCGGGACGAGGCGACTGCAGTGGCAGCCGCTGCTGCTGCTGCGGCGGCGGCGGACAGCTGCTGTAGCAGTTCGGAAGAAGACGTGTCGGTGAACCGGAAACAGCATTTCGCCAGCCTGAGCCCCGCCTCGTCGTCGTGTCAATCGACGTTACCACCAAGTCCACCGAAAACGAACGGCGACAAGAGGCCGGCCGCGAGCGATCCGAACGCCGTGAAAGAACTCGAGCACGCCATGTCCAAGCACCTGCCGCCGGTCACGGACAAGACGTCTGCGTCGTCGGCGGTGACGGTGGCGCACCAGCCGACCGACTTCAGCACGGACGCGCTGCTCAAGCAACAGCAACAGAAGAGCACGATCCAATGGATCGGTGCGCACCACCTGGGACATCACCACCACCTCCATCACCAGCAGCAGCACCAGCAGCAGCAGAACGGTGGCTTACACCTGCAGCAGCAGCACCAGCATCACCATCACGTCGCCGGGCCGCCTCACCACCATCACCTCCATCACCACCAACAGCAACAGCAGCACCAGCACCACCATCACCAGGGCGCGTCGTCGCAGCACGGCCAACAGCCGCCAGGCGGCGCACCGGGTACCACGCTGCCCGCTTCGGCGCTGCTCCGGCAAATATACGCCAACCGCGAGTCGGTGATCCGCGCCAACGTGCACGCTCCCCGTTCACCCGGTGCCAGCGCTGTCTCGTATTACGCGGGCGAGATGAGCACGTTGCCGACGCCGCCGGGCAGCGAGGGCGGTTACTCGGAACAGCAACAGTTCGGGCCGCAGAAAAACGAGTTCGGCAACGGCGCCGGCACGCTGGCCATACCGCCGCCGTACAGTTACGCGGATTACCATACGGCCATGACGCCGCCGTCGTCGGTTTCGCCGCGTGACAAGCACCAACACCAACACCAGCACCAGCACCAGCAACAACAGCAGCAGCAACAGCAACAGCAGCAGCACCAACAACAGCACCAGTACGACTTGTACGGGCCGCCGCCGCCGCCGACTTCCGCGGACGCTTTGCTGCAGCTGCGGCAACAGCACTTGCACCAGCAGTACGGCCACCACGCGGAGGTGACGTCGTCCGCCGCGCCGGCGCTGCCGCTGAAACCGCAGCCGTACAACCCCGCACCGCCGGCGCCGCCGCCACCCGCCGTGCCGCTCGACCACTACGACCAGACGTCCGCGGCCGCGGCCGCTGCGGCCGCAGCGTTTTATCACTCGGCCGCCGGCTTTCATCTGTACCACCCCGTCAAGTCGACGATGGCCGCTGGCCCGCTGCGCCTCCACCGCCGTCGTCCGTGTCGCCGCGCCGACCCGCTTAAGAACCATCACAACTGGTACTCCACGCCCACTTAATTTGGGAGGTGCGCAGTCGGTTTAGATTTATAGTGACGATGACGACGGTAACGCGTGTAGATTTCACTCCTCACCATGCCATCACCTCCACGAAAGCGTGATATAATTATTATATACGTAAACGTTATGGAGGAGATAATTTTTAAACGCAAAATTCGCGCTCGTATTTTCTCGGACATATTACTATCTTATTTTTCAACGAAACTAGACAAATTTTCAGGTATTATATCGTTATTTATTATGCACACGGCGATTTGTTAGTGGGTTCCTAACCAATTCGCCATTTTTTCTCCCCTTGATATTATTTCCTTTCTAAGATAATGTATCCACGTTCGTTATTATTGAACTGATAAAGAAAATATCAAAGTGCCGGAATAGTTTGAACATAATTTGATCCCGGATTACGTTCATAAATTATACAATACATTGCATCGACGATTGTCGGAAAGGATATAATGTATATACCTACTAAAAAAAATACATCACAAGTAGGTACTGTATAAATAGCAAGTGCCTACCTATTGACTATTGAGTTTATAGAACTATAAGCTGATGACAACGATGTAGAATGTAATATTATAATAAAATAGGCACCTAGGTCGACAGAATGCATAGGTAGTTCGATAATAGAGGTACCTACCTACTTGGATGATTTATCTAGCCCCATTCCGCACGACCGACATTTGCTGCCCCCGCTCGCTCTTCTATAATTTGAATGTTAGTAAATAACAAACCATGAAGTATAAATAACTATTGTATAATAACTATTAATAAGTATAACTATTGAAAAATACCATGAAACCTAAAACTTATCATTATCAAAAAATAGTCAAAAGATAATGTAAGTTTTTAAGTATTTGTATACTTTAATTACAACCTGTTTATTACTTACTCTCACCTACTCTAAAGTGTGCGTTTTATTTTTTGTAAAACTCGCTAGATGTCCAAGAAAGTACGGGTTTCGCATGTTGAAATATAACCACCATTATGTGCGATTGGTATACTTAGTTTTTAATTATTTAATTTACTGCTGCTGTATTCGTTTGAGACTGTAATATTGTCGTTATACTTTTTTAGATTTATTAAATGCATGTATTATATCGACTTTGTAAAAACCTACCAAGGTTATATAAAATACGTAATACCTACGTATATATATTATGCACATAAATACTATGAACAAACTATATTATATTTTGTTAAGACTATATCTTTTTTTTTTTTTTATACATACATATTTTAACCAAAGATTGTATTTTAGTGTCGAATTTTTAAACTGCGTGCCTACCAATTTTTTAATCAATTGATGATGTACCACGGCAGGTGTGTGTATATGTATATATATTAAAAAAAAGTTTTAATGTTTTTATTTTTAAAATAATTGACGATTTCGACGTCTGGCGTTTATTTTTGGTTTGAAATGTAATTATTAAAAAACTTATCAAGAATAGCTAACTTTAATAAAATATTTTAAAATATAAACTGAATAACATTGCAAAACTTTATGCATAGAAAAATAATTCTCATAAAATTATATCCCGTCAATATGGCGCTACATGTTTGTACATATTATTTTATACATATAAGATAAAAAATAATGTAGACTTTTATCATTAATATTATTATTTAATAGGTCTGTAAGTTATACGTATAAAACATCATATCAAATTTATTTTAAAACTAAGTGCTGAAGACACCACAATATTTCAGTCTTGCACTCATATGTATTGTTAGTTATAAGTTACGATGACACTATCGTTATAATTCAGTAAACACTTTATTATTATTTTTTACGATTTCAATTTGTTTCTTTCCCTTAAACAATAATTTTATTATTTGAAAACATGTTAGGTAGTTAATTATTTTATTATTATTATTATTATTATTATTATTATTTTACGTTGGCTCAATTAATTTGTATATAATGTAATTTTTTACACACATATTATGTATAATATATAATATTACTATATTATTACCTATTATTATTATTATTACTATTATTATTATTATTATTATTATTACTATTATTATTACTATTATGAAGTTAATGCTGTTAGTAGGTGTTAACTGAAATGTGCAATAGACACACGTTTATATCAGTGATATTTATTCCTTGTTTGTAATTTAAAATATAAACAAAAATAATTTTAAAAATACGATTTTATGCAAGTTGTTTTTTCATGAATGTTTTTCTTGATGGTACGATCGTAGAAACCATTTTTAAATTATTAAAGCCACTCAAACGGCCACCATAAATTGAAATTGGCTGACATTGAGTATAACCGAGTTTTGAGTAAAACTCTTGTTTGTCTATTGTAGACAAGTACGCAACATTCAAACCCAACCTATAAAAACAATTTAAACATTTAAAGATCATTTAAATTATGTTTATATTATTATTACGTTTTTATGTATTCTTCAGTCTTATGCATGAGATATTTTCCTAGTCCTTGTCCTCTGTGATGATTATCTATTACCACTAAAACAATAACAATTTTTATAAATTAAAAAAAATGTACATTTTTATTTTAGTATGAAAAAAGTGAATACAAGCTATAGCATAATATCAAACATTGGAAATTTGTTAAGAATTATATTTTAGACTGATAAAATTGTTTTAAAATTCAAATGCTTGCACAAAATATAGTTATATTTAAGAAAGAAAATAGTATCTAACTTGATATTATATTAGATAGGTATGTATAAGTGTAACCGAAACAACAAGCAAATTATTTAAGGCATTATAATATATATTTGAAACAATCAAGCTTTAACCTACATGAAAATAAAAAATAATAAAAAAAGCTTATAAAAAAATTATTATAATTAAAATAAATTATCTACGCATCTACTTAATAAAAGTAAGTATTCTATTTTTTTAATTTATCAGAATCAGAATGTAATTTATTAGTTATAAGTACTAAGTATATATGATACTAGTTGAAAAGTAAACAGAATTTAATTACCTGTTTCAATGAAACCACTATCAGGAATAGATGGTATTGGTGTAATTTTTGCATGCCCTATTACTGTTTTGAAGTTATCTTCTTCTTTAACCAGTACCAAAGATGTTGGCAAGGTATCACAAGACCCCTCCAAACTGTGTAACCTAAAAGAAACATAAAAACTCATAAACCTCAATATATTGACATATTATTATTATCATTATCATATGATAATTTCCCAAAAATATAGAAACTTAAGTACTTAATAATGTTGTATAATAAATATAAAATAACAATACAATTTAAAGCAAAATATCAGACATAGTTCATTTGTTTCCATTTTTAAATAGAACAAATTATAAAATACATTATTGTATAACATGAAAACAAATTATTTTCAAATATAATAATAATAAAATTATAGTCTAATGAGTTACAAAGTAGTCAATATTTTACATTAATTAAGACTTGAAATATTAATATAATCTAATTAAACAATAATCAATAACTAAAGCATTAATAAATTTTAAATTAAATTTATATGTTTTTCACAAATTAATGACTAATTTGACATCTACTAACAATTTCTAATCAAGTTACACTATGATATAAAGATTTTTAAGAACATTTAATTATTTTAAACAATATTTACTTATAGACAAACCTAATACATTTAATTAAATTGCTGATGAGTGATTTTCAATTTTCTTAAGTGTTAAGTACCAATTTGAAATTGTATAAAATCTAAACTATCATGCCCCAATTTCAAAACAATAAAATATTTATAAGAAACTTGGCCAATTATTAGTGGATTCAATAAATACCTAGCCATTTCACTGCGTGGCCATTCCGAATTAATTACAGCACAACATTGTTTGATGAAGTGTTTGTTACGGTGTATAGGAATTACTTCAAATCGTTCCATGTTATTGCTCTAATATAAATGTAAAGTAACTGTACCTGTAAAAATGTTACACTATAACACTACATTTTGGTATCCAAATTCAAAAACAAATAATTTATAAATTCACTCAATTAAAATAAATAATAATCAAACTACGATGTATTAAAAATGTAAAAATCAACTTGATTGATTATCCAATGAGATTAAGCATAAGGCGATACATGTAATTTTAGTGGTTTTTATACTGAATGACAAATAAACAATTTTGTACTAAATGTATCAAACCTTAAAATTCACTAGTATAGTATTAATTAACTAATTTGTAGGTATCTTATGTTTTTATTTATTTATCATTTAATGATTAAAAGACTCATTAGAATCTAATACGCAAGTGTCATTACTTAAATATATTATTATATACTTTGTTAAAATCCAATGTTAGAAGTTAGTACCAATTTGGCTTAAAAAAAAATAAAAATACTATAGGTACACAAAACTATAAGTTTGTAGAAAAAAATAATCTAGATTCTCGGCGTTCTCAAATGTTTATACTGCTTGATAGTATAATATTATATTTTAACATCAGAAAGCTCAATATCATCCTCCTATAAATATTTTTGAAAATCAAACTAATATATAAATACTTTATAAGTATTTAACTTGGCTCAATTGTATATTTTTTACTATCATATGATAATAAAATATTAATTTTTGAATGAAACATACTAGTTTATTTATTAGGTAAATGAATATTTTAAGAACATAATCATTTCTAAAAAAGTAGATAGTAATTGCTAAAAAAAATTAATACAAAAAAATAAAAAAGAATTAAGGGAAAATGTATTAAACAATCACTTATTCACTTTTTTACAAACAATATCCTACATGAACAATTTTATTATTGACAATCAAAAAAAAATAACTAGGTAATAAGTAGGTAGGTATTAAATTTTTTTTTAAAAAAATAAAACCAAATACAAGAATAATATAACATTGTTTTTCATTAATTTACTAAATAATTAAATTTTTTAATCAATAAATTATAAAAAATAAATAATTTTATCAATGATTTATTGAGTTTTTTATGCAATAAATTAATAATAATTAACGGTTAATTATAAATTTTACTTATCTAAATTTAATTTATATATTTTTTTTAAATAGTGTAACGTATGCATATAATATTTAAATTTAGCATAGAATAGTAATTACGAATCTATTATGTTTTAAAATTATATATAATATAATAATTTATTTCAAAATGTTTTAAATTTTAGAACTTTTAAATAAATAAAATAAAAATAAATAATTGGTAAGTTGTTACTTAAAGTTCATCAACGCCATCTATTTGTTGAATAGTGTAATGGCATAATAACAGGTATTGATTATTTTTATTCTATTTCCCAACCAATCCTTAGAAACCCTATCAAAGTGTTATCATATTATATAATACACAGATACCACTTATAAACAATAAATGTAGACGGCAAATATTTTATATTACTCTTATAAAAAAAAAAATTTATGCTATTTTTATAATGAAGCCAGATAATTCAGAAAATAACCACATAAACGACAATGAACTGAGCAATGAGTTGAAAAACCATATGTTTTGGATATTTGGTTACGGCTCATTAATATGGAAAACTAATTTTCCATTCATAAAAAAATACCCTGGATACATAAAAGGATACACCAGAAGATTTTATCAGTTTAGCCCAGACCATAGAGGAACCAATGACTTAGTAAGACAAAATAATATGTCATTTTTCAATTATTCTTACGGCGATGTTACAAACCCTAATTTTCAAGATTGATCTAAACCCAAACTACACTTTTTATTTTTATTAAATCCAATTAAGCTCATTTTTTTTTTATGTTAAAATATAATTTTTTTTATTCAAAATAAATTAATGAATTAAGTTTTCTATAAAATAATATATATTGTTGATAATATTTACTAAAAATATATTTTCATAGTTTTTCAATAAACTGGATTTTTATTTTTATTTCATTAATTCAATAAAAAAATCAGTTTGTATCATCACTTGCAAAACTATATTTATACCAATTATTTTTAAAAAATTCTTGATAAATTTCAGCCTGGACGAGTAGTGACTCTTTTACCATCAACTAATGAAGTAAGTTGAATACTATGCTTAGCTTATTTTACAATACAATTTTATGTTTGTACATATTAGTATATTATACATACATTGAAATATATGGTACTTTTTAGTAATATGTTATTGGCATTATTGCTACTACACTAACTAAAAACACATAAAATTTTAATTATAGAAAAATATAATCTTGAATCTTGAATTTTTAGATTAAACATGCATTTGTACGATTTTAAAATGTTCATAACTTGTTTTAAAATTAAAATATAGAATAAAACCTAGAAGATACTCTAAATATTTTAATTTTAAATTTGATGATAGGTTAATTAACTCTTACATTAAATATAAATAGAGTTCTATTCATTTGTATGCCGTAAAAATGCATGTGGGTATAATGTCCTCTTAATAAGTACTGACATAAGATCACTCAATAGCAGAGTTATATTTTTATATAACTTGGTTACATAACAAACAAATACTACTTATGTTATATAATTATAATAAAAATGTACTATTATTGATAAAAAAATATATACTATAAGTATCTATACTTCCTACTAAACCTAATATTTGCAATTTAATATGATTTTAGAGTCGAGTATGGGGTATAGCATATGCGATAGAAAATCGAGATATAGATAATGTGTGTGCGGGGTTGGACCTACGAGAACGAGCAGGTTATGTTAAGAAGGTTGTCCAATTTCATTCAAAAACAAATGAAAATCAAATACCATCTGAAGTCACTGTATACATAGCAGACGAAAATAATGAGTGGTTTGCTGGTGAAGCATCTATTCAACAAATAGCTTCCAGAATAGCAGTTTGCAGTGGAACCAGTGGATCAAATCCAGAATATGTACATAAATTAGCAGCAGAAATGAGACGAATAGCTCCTGAGGAAGATGATAAACATTTATTTGAACTTGAAATGGCTCTGAAAAACATTGAAAATAGTAAGGAAAAACAAATACTTTAATCAAAAATATAAGAAATTTTTAATTGATTTGTATTTATAATTTTTTTTTCATGAAAAAAAAAAAAATTATATTTTATTGTTATGAATAAAAATTGGTATATATTTTTTTATTTCATCCAATACAAATAACAACTTTTAAATCAAGACTTTACACCTACGCCTATAATTTGTTTATATTATATTATGTCAAGAAATATTTATTACTGTCTCCACCATATCTACTTCTGTTTGGTATGGTTGATCAGCTGTGCATTGATTGAATTCAAAACTACTTTCTTGCTTTTCAATTAAAAATAGAACATCCTTCATATGACTATACTATGCTCAATTTATGATATTTTCTAATTAACTTTCTGTCATGATGCTGTGGATCAGGCATTCATCTTCTCCATTCTTATTTGATGCCACAGATTTATTAACTTCTGTCTTTTCATGTTCTTTCCATCTTCACAAGAAACTATTCATTATTTTCCATTCCAACCACAGCTATAGATAATAGCCGTGATTCCAACCCATCTCATTTCTTATGGAAAAAATCAACCTCTTCACTGAATGAACATTGCCAACCCAATTTAATCTCTTACCTCATTACTTAATATATAGTAATAACAGATTGTCTTCAAATAATATATTACCCGATATGCAGCAAATTCCAATGTGAATATAATCTTAAATGCATCAAAATTTACTAATCAGACAAAAAAAATAAAAAAAAATACTTGAACAAATTAAACTAAAATTTAAATACAAAAATATACTAATTATTAAGATATGTATAAATATTTCTTTAGAAGATTTATTTTAATAAAAATATAATTTAATAACAGAAAATAATAACATAAAATAATACATCGTTTTAATAGTCTGTGTTAACTTTTTAAGACCAGTACCTATGTCCACATTTTTATTGAAAAAATAGTAAATTTGTGATAAAAGTATTTCGCTATTTTGATGTTGACTAAAAAGTAGAAATACCATTTTTTACTATTGAATATTGTGGTATAATTCTCTTATCAGTTGTATAACTGCCGAAAAGTGATAACTGAATTGATAAACACTAAAGCATCAGAAAATGTGACCAATGCACATTGCACAAGGTTCGTAGATTTGATACCTATAAAATAAACCTTGACCGTTGCCCATACCGTCCACACCACTACAATCATAATAAATTATTACTCGTGCTTTGAAGGATATAAACTGAATTATGCAAAAAAACGTCAATTGCGGTGTAAAGAAGATTCTTCAGTTTTCCTCTACAGTCTACACCTTGACATAAATAATCTATAGGTGATCTAAACTAATAAGTAATAAAAGTTATCGTTTTTGCAGGAGCAAAATGTATGCAATACGATATTATCAACCATTATAGTGGTGTTATCATATATTTTGTTTTCTTTATGTTTACTTTATAATTTGAATTGAAATTTGAATGACGAAGGATATTGTCTTATCAGTTATCACGGTTGTTGTCGGGTGGTTTTTAATTTTGTATTAGTTTCATAAAATTTATAGCTATAATTTCTAATTTTTTTATGCTGCAAGATACAAGACGTTTAGAACTGCTAGAATATTATAGTATCATCTACCTAAATATATAGATTATTTTTGAACGGTAAATAATAAATTAACTTAATATTTAATAATTCATTTTAATAATCAATAATCGTTATTATCGATATACTGTTCTCAGTTCTCAAATAAAATAGTAAATATTAATACATGCATTTTCTACATAATATAATAGTATGTTTTTCTTTTCTTTCGATAGAATTCAGTATAATTTGATTGCATTGCTACTTCTAATTTGAAAATGGCTACAAATTTAGTAGTATTAGGTGAAAATGCTGCTAGAATTAACGTGAAAGTTAATCCAAATATGACTGTTCTTAAAGCAAGTACCTCATATCATTTGATCTTTAAGCACTACTCTTTATAAATAAATGTTATTATTTTAGGTAATAGAATTAGCCTGCACGAAAATGAAAGCAAACAGCAATGATTTTGATTTAAAGTAAGCAATTTCCTTTATTTAATCATTTTTAATAAATCGTAAAGCATTTTACAGTGTTTTATTGTCTCTTTATTCAATAGATATCACAACAAAATATTAGATACAACAAGTCTAATCAGATTTACAAATATTTCCAACAATGCCTTATTGGAATTAGTACCTGCCACAAAATCTAGGGAAAATAGTTCTGTTGGTATATGGTTACAATTAGAAGATGGATCTAGATTATCTGGTGAATTTCCATCTAGCCGTAAGCTATATTAAAAATGTGATCTTATTTATTATAGTTTAAATTTGTACTAAATAATTATATTTTTTTTTTTTTTTGATTAGAAAATCTATTGAAAATCATACAGATATTGTTGAAGGACAAATTTTCTAACTATGAAAGTCCAGCTATAATTTATACAAGAATGGAAATAATTGGTAAAGAACAATTGCAGCAGAAAACATTAAAAGACATTGGACTAGTTAGTGGCAAAGCCTTGTTAAGGTTAGTTAAGAACAATTATTTTACATCTTCACTGTATTTTAATATTTATAATAATTATCTAATATTGTTTAAACATTTGTTGCTCACTGGCTAATTATTATTCTTGTAACATTTATAATAGTTAATTAAATTATATAAACGCATAGATAATTGTTGCAACTGTATTTTTTAAATGTATTTATTTTTACCTAAATCATTTTGATTACTGAAAATAATATGTTTTAAAAAATTTTATATTTTGATTAACTAGATTACTTAATAAAAAAGAATTCGAAGACCAAGCTCATATATATGTACCTGCAGCAAGAAAACCAAAACTTGAAGAACCTCCTAAAGTCTTAGATCGTAAAGAAATAAGCACAATTAATGCATTACCAAATGCTGAATTTTCAAATGTTATGGCAACAAGTCCACAAGAGACGAAAGATATTGAAACAAATACTAATGATACAGTTGAAAAATCTGAGCCTATAAATATGTCAACATATCAAAAAAACCTTGATAATGACCCTAAAGCAAAAGATAGCAATAAAAAGCCTACTCTTAGTAATGAAGATCTCAATAATTTTAAAAACTCTATATCTTATGTAAGTAAGATTCGAATAATTTTTCTCCATTTTATTTACATTTTTCTATTATTGTAAATAGTTTATATACCTATTTATACAAATATCCATTATTTTATATTTAGAGATTTATTAATTTAATTAATATTAAAAAATACATTCAAGTCGCAATAACTTATATTTATTTTTGTGCTAAAATAAGAAAAATTTATTTTTTATTTCCATAGTAAAATACAATAAAATTTTATGTAATAATTATTAGTTTTAAAATAAAGTAAATTAATATTTAAAATGTATTTTTTTAGTTAGATGAACGGGATACATTGTTATTTAATATTATGGATGGTACTTCAGTGTTGTATCAAGATGAAGGTGATGATTTCTTTCAACCTACTATAAAAGATGTTACTCTTGTACTAAGAGATTTGAAAAAATCACGGTAAATTTTATATTATTAATATTAAGAGAGTAGGTATTATATTATGTGTTTTCTCAATTTTATTAATACTTAAAATAAAGAATTTTATGTTCAAAAAAATTCCTTTTAAAATAATACTTACAACTTAATTATAGTAAATTCAAATATTAAAAATAAATAAATTGTATATAATATTTTAGAATCTAACAGATCCTTCTGAACGTTAAAATTTCCATGCATTAGTAAGATAGAGTAACCGTGTGTGGATATAATGTTCTCTTAATAAAACTAAATATTTAAAGTAAAGCCATATTTATTTTAGAATCCTTAACCCTAATAAAATGTTTAAATTTAAGAATTTAATTAGGCTTTAAGCATTTATAACTTAATGTTATAAAACTATTTGGTCTATGTATAAATATTAAATAATATAAGTAATGTGTATTGTCAGATGTCTAGAAACTATAATCAATTGATATTATACAATTAATAATAATAAGTTTTAAAAATTACATACTAAAATTTAAAGATAGACTAGTTGTATTTATAAATTTGTAACTATATTTATTTTTATTTTAGGGCTCAATTAGAAGATGGCCAACTGTGTACAAGTGCAATGCGAGAATTAGAAAAGACTCAAAACCAACTAAATTTATTACATAAATACAAAAAATGTATTATCAGAATACATTTTCCAAACAGATTAGTGTTACAAACTATATTCAAATCAACTGAAACTGTATTAGATGTAATAAATTTTATTCGAAAATATCTTATTGATGAGTCTTTAAACTTTAGTTTGTGTAAGAGCTAATTGAATTTTAACATCAATTAATTTATTAATACTATACAATATCTAACTTAATAATAATTTATTTACCCATGATTCCACAGTTACGACACCTCCTAAGACTATTTTGAAACCCGAAGAAACATTATTGGAATGTGGATGTGTACCATCAGCAATGATACATTTTTCTAGCGATATGGAAACTGATCAATTAAAACCTGAACTTAAACAGAAAATTGTATCTGGGTGTCAAGCTTCAATAGCTGCTTATCTTGTGAGGTTGGTTCATATTGTGTGTATATTTATGAAGTTAATGATACAAATTAAATTGTTTAGAGAAAGTTATTAAATAATACTCTGATATAAGTTATTTAATTTGTTAGCATTTATATTTTTATAATTGAATATGGTATTCTAAACTTCAGTATACAATATTATAATTTATATAATTTATATCACATTATCTTCAACCCATACACTTAAAATATCATCATAGCATTATACGTGTGACTAGGAAATGGGTGTTAGAGTTGACAATTATTATACAATTTATCGGTTACATGTGTTCATAGAATTCCAATAGTATGACTATATAGTTAATAAGATTTTACCAAGTTTTAAGAAGTAAATATTTTAATGAAATATAAAAAGATAGTTTTTGATTTAAATTACTCATTAGTATCTTTACTATGTATATTGTAATTTTTTTTTTTTTGAAGACCATTGAAATAATTTGTTGTAAGAAATAAGATAACAAAAATGGTATAACAGATGACAATGACATTGAAATATTCTTTTAAAAAATATTAAATTGCCTTACATTTCTTTTATGAAATTTCTAATATGTTTGCATTAATAAACTAATTAAAAATTAATAAATAATTACAGAAAAGAAAGAATTCCAAACTCTACACATAATGACACTTTATATAATGAACAACCAGGGACAAGTAAACAATCAGAGAATCAAAATACTAAAACGGCTGTTTTTACTAAACAAAATAAAACTACAGCAAATAGTGGAAAGACACCTAAATGGTTTAAGCCGGTATGAAAATTAAAGTAAAATCACAAACTACAAATTATGTTTAAATTACTTAATTATAATTTATTGATGTATAATTATAGTAATTAATTTCTGTATGGCATGTATATTTTTTTTTTTAAACAATTAGTTAAATAACCATATTATTTGAAAATCTTTTAATAAAAAAAAATATTTTTCAAAATTTTTAATTATTGTCAATTTTTTTTATAAATCTTATGGTTGTTATTGTATTTTTTACGTACTAGTAAATAATTTACTTAAAATACATATTTATTCTCTTTTAACGTTTAGTAATGAAAGGTTTACTAAATGTCTCATTGTTGGTCTTCCATGAGGGCAATTCTAAAACAAAAAAATTGAAATCACAAATAAATTCAAATTATAAGAAAACATTGAAAATATTAACAAAAGGCAATAGTTGGTTTTTATTTGTATTTATCTTACCCAAGGTTGTTCAATATCTCCCATGTGGTCAATAAGTTTTCTCATATCACTCAAGTTTAATACTGTACCAATCATAACAGACTTACGACAAGCACGAGAAGCAAACATTGAACGAACTCTTGAAGGTCTACAGAGAGTATTTGGCGCATCCTAAATAATTGGTTATTAGTTATTAAAAAAAAGAAAAATTATTATTTTCAAATTGGTATTGAGACATATTAAAATTATTATTTACTTGTAACATAAACAAAAGTTCATCAACATCCTCTTTACCAAAACTCCAATTATTACTCATTGGGATCATAGTTAACTTAACTTTTTTTGTTGGTTCAGCTTAAACATGATAAATAACACACTTTATAACTATGAACATGTTTTAAAAAAGGAATTAATTAAACTTACCATCTTGTTGGAACTGAAAATCAAATCCATTCATTTGAAAAACATTAATATTTTCCATTAATACCATTTCATTAACAGCAGTTAACTCTAATTGCTGAGGTCTACAATAAAAATTAAAATTAAAATTTATACACTCAAATTTAAAGAAATTCTGATTTGATAAATTAGTTTTTATTATAAATCATTACTAACACCACTAATTTTTGGCTTGTGATTTTTGTTGTATTTTGTAATGTTTCAAAGTTATATTTTTCATCAGTGGCATGCTGATCAACTATAAATAGATCAGCATCAAGCTTGGTAATGATAAAACCTAAATTAAATTGACCAATAATACTCATCTAGAAAAAAATAATAAATGTACTATACTTATTTATTAAAAAAAAATAATAATGCAATTACTTACTTTAGAAAACATATCTTTAGAAATTTCTCTACTTAATTCACCCTCGGCTTGTTGATTTTTACTTGGGTCAATAGTTGCAAAAAATCTTGTTTTTGTTTTCTGTTTTTTAGATGTTTGAAATCTTAAATTGTTCAGCCTTTGTTTAATTTGTTCGATATTGGTCTCAACTACTGAAAATTTTCTTTCCTTGGGTGCTATAGAAGAGTCTATTTTTATGCTAGCATTAGCTTTTATTTTAGATAAATCACAGTAAGTATTGATATCTTCAATAGATACATTTTTAACTTCACTCATTTTTATTGAATCATATTTGTCTTCTTCAGTATCTGATTTTTCAGTAACATTATTTAAACAAAATGTATTATCATTTATATTTTCACTACTTGAACTATGAACAGAATATTCAGTTAGTTCGATATTTTTACCTTTTGAATTATTAATATGTGTATAAATGTTTTCATAATTTTTAATGTTTACTTGTTTCTGTTCATCCACATTTTCACTATGAACAGGATATTCAATTAGTTTAATATTGTCTTGTTTCTGTGTTTCAGTATTTTCATCTTTGCCATCAATTTCAAAAGTATCAGTACATTTTAATGGACTATTAGATACTTTGTTTTCTATTAATTCCTCATAATGATTTTTCTGAACATTATCAATATGCTCAATTTTTGGTTTAAGAAATTTATCTATAGTTTCAGGAACAGCTATTTTAGATTTATCAGATTTCCATTTATTGAGTTTAGCTTTAATTTGTTCTGAATGACTAGGTGTTTCTTTACTTTCATATTCATTACTTTCATCAAATTTCAGTACTAAAATAATTTTTCAATAATTAAAACAATGTTGTTAAAGTAATTAATAATTACATTTGTATCATTAATATATGAAAACTATACAATATTTTAAGGTATTTATTTTATAGTATAATTAATAAATAAAAATTTGAAAGTTATATCTTTTTTTTTTATATAAATAATTATTAAATTCCATTGTTTTACACAATATAGTTTTTATTGAACAATTTTGTAATTACTAATTACTAATAGAACAATAGTATTAATGACATGATCTCATTTTTAAATCAATTTATAAAACATAGATATGTGCAAATATCCATTATTATTCAATAAAATTCATAGTTGTCTATTCAAAACTTTATAAAACTTCATTGTACATTGATCTTTTACTTATTTTAAGTATACTATCAAATAAATAAAATTTGATCTCTCTATTAAATATAAATTAATTTTTTTTCTTACATTTACAATTTTTACTTTCTGTAATTGATTCATATGGTCTTTTAGTTGATATCGATTCATACAACAATGTATTAATCTTGTAAGTAGATGGAATATTTTCAAACAGTTTATTTAAACTGGCCTTTAATAAAAGTATATAAATAGAGTATATTGAAAATTAAGTATTGAATTTAAGATATTATAAATTATAATAGCTGAATAATTAATATGAATACTAACTCTAATTATTGAGACTAAGCAATTTTCATTAGACAAAAATATTTGTCTTTTATCAGGTGTCACATTAATGTCTACTTCATCTCTTGCAATTGTTATATTTAAGTAAATAAATGGATATTGATTTTGATTATATTGATGGTAAACTTCATTAACTGTTTTTATAACCTAATAAAAAAATAATATTTATCACATAATGTATTAAATCATTTAAATTTAATACTAATCTATATTTAGTATTTTTTTAATTAAAATTATGTCTATAAAAAATCAATTCATAAAGAAATTGTAATTAATATTAGTTGACTATTAGATATTGATTTTTGGATTAAATCAATCGTCATGATAAAAAGTAATACCTAAATTCTATAAAAAAATATTCTAAAAATACTTAAATTTATAAAAAATAAAATATGTGAGGTACTTTTATAGGTTCACATGGTCTTGAATTAATGAAATAAAATTGTCTGTCCTTAGAACTTCTGCCTCCACCATGATCACAACTAGATACATAGCCATCTATTTCAAAAATATTTGATGTATCATCTACTTCATCTACAGGAATGACTTTTTTTAAAACTAACAAACTATTGGCCTAAAAATATTTAAATCAATAAAAAAAAAAATCATAAATAACAGATCCTAAAAAATATACCTGTTTAGAACCATAAATGCATGATATGTTTTCTAATACTGTGTTGCTACCATGTGTTGATAGGAGAACATTGTTTGAAGATTTTGTTTGATTAACACATGATAATCTATGAAAAAATAGTAAGACTATTTATATATGTAAATCTAACTAAATCTATTAAAAAAATGAATTTACTTCACTTGAGTAGCAACTAAACAGTAACCAGTCACAACTTGGATCATTTTTCCAAATTCTTTTTTTAAATTTCGATGAAATTCTTTATGTCTTACAGGTAATGAAGAAAATAAATTAGATAAAGTAACAGTTGTTCCAATCTAATTAACATGTTATTTCATTATATAAGCATAAAGAACATTTATTGTATAGTGTTATACATTATTATTATTATATATGTAGAAACATACTTGCTTAGCAATAGGGACTTTAAGTTTAATGTTTCCTGAATGATCAAACACTAATTTAATTCCACACTCTTGTGATGAATGTCTAGTGGTAACTGTTACATCACTTAAAGCACATAATGAGCTTAACGCTTCTCCTCGAAAACCAAATGTTTCTACTGAAGTTAAATCAGCAAAGTCTTGAATTTTGGATGTATGGTGTTTTAAAGCTATGTACAAAAAATATTGTACTTAGTTTAAGTATCAATATAATAAAATATCATTATAATCAAACCAAGTCCTTCAAAATTGTCTGGATGAACCCCAGCTCCATTATCTATTACTTCTACTAAATCTTTACCAAATTCTTTTAGTTTAATTTCAACTGAAGTGGCTCCAGCATCTAAACTGTTTTCTATTAACTCCTTTACTGCTGTAGCCAAGTTCAATACAACCTTTAAAAAATATATTAACATTTTATATTTTAATAGATACATCATAAGAATAACATAATATAAAAATACACGTATTATTTATGTATAATTTACTTGACCAGAGCATATTTTATGAACGTCCAATTTATTTATTGGCTTGATTTGGCTAGACATCTAAAATATAAAAGATTTACAACTTCAGCATTAAGATAAAAGTATAAAAGACATGATTAAGATTGGCATTGGTAATGAATATAAATTTAAAATAATAATTAAAAACCATCATTATAATAAAAACATATCATAAATTCCATAAAATTAATACTTAACAGTAATCAGTGAAAATTGATAATTGAAATAATATGAAATACTTTTAACCAATGGCCAAAATGTATAGCAAATTAGTCTTGGAGATCTTAGAGAGAAATCATGACACAAAAAACAATCGTATGTAAATTTTTTTAGCTTTTTGTAAATCTGTTCTGAGTGTCACGAATTCACGCTTAAAGTATTTAATAATTAATTATAATAAGCAAATATGTTTGTATTTTTTCATAATACACGATCGAATGTCACTACAAATCTATAAAAGTAGTTTAATCATAATAATATTATATTAGTGGATGAAATTTAAAAATTGTCCGGTCACCGACGGTGTTTTGGGATATTTAATAATAATATCAATAATAACCGACAAATGATTAGGTACTGATAATATTTGATAAGTCTATTCACCAACTACACCGTACACAATAACAACACAACGTGGTATTGTGATAGTTGTAAAGTGTAAACAATAAACATTATAATCAGAGCCGTGGCACACTAAATAGTAAATACAGTAAAAACGATAAATCCAAAAAGAATCTAAATCAATTCAATAAAATATTTATTAATAATATCCAAATAAAATATTTATTAATTTTATAAAATATTATTAATTGATATGAAATTGATAATTATTTGATAAAAATTGCATTGTTGGTTGTTACAATAATGAATAAACATTTTTATTACGATAACAAAATATTTTATAAGCAATATAAACACTTGGTGAAAATTTCAAGTTTCAACAGTTTATTTGTTTTTAAATTAAAACAAAATAATAAAATCAATTTTTTCAAAAAGTGACAACTACGAAAATTCCTGTTTTTCCTTAATTTTAGTTTTTGCTTTTCTGATTATTAAAAAAAGTATTAGAAAAATTTGTGTAACTTTTGACATTCACATCAACCCACTTAGAACTAAAATTCTAGATAATGCTCTCCGTCAGTTAAAAAGACAATAGTGTAGAGATTTACTAAATCCTTAACCATAATGCCACTTGAAGGTTCTATCTCTGAACAACTCCCCTACTCACACCATATTATCATTTAAATATTATCATTCATCTCATATTATAACCTATTATTGTACATATGTTACAGATTCCAAATTCTCTATTTTATTTTAATAAAATAAAAGTCCTAAGTCAAAACACTTTTTATCCTAAGAAATAATGACGAACGTACACAAAATATAAATAATGCATTATCGTTAAGTTAATACTTTATCGCTTGCTCAGAATTTAAAACTAAATTAATTGCTGTTCTGATTTTAAGGGACGAAGGAGATAGGCATAGAAAACTTTTCGGTTTCAAGATTTCAATAAAAAAAAATCTTCTACATGCCATTCCTTTGGGATGTGTGTAGGTATCTCATACCTATCAATCTATCTATAAACCTATTAATTACATGGTTAAATTATATTAATTTTTGTATACTTATGTTTATAGGTATGTTTAATTTAAAATTAAAATTCTACGTATTTGATACATATTTAATGACTACGTCTTAATTTTTAAAATATTTTGTTAAATTCTTCTTAGTTAAAATAAAATGTCTAGTATTAAAAAAATATGGGGTTTTTCCTTACGGATGAATTTTTTTTGTTAATTTTTTTTTTTTTTTGCGTGATTTCATCATCATTTATTATTTATTAGAATTAAAATGTTCATGTTTGTTGCCGCCATAGACCTATAAGATCCATGGTTGCTGCACTGTATGTCTATGTTGATAAACGAATAAATGATAACGCATTAGTATTTTTTATTTGGGTTTTGATATTTTGATAATCATTTTGATAAAAATATGAAATCGCTTGGTTAAATCAAATCAATGTACGTAGTACAGTAGTACGTACACACCAAATTGAAAATATTTTTGTGTAAATTTTATTATTTTAAATTTTAAATATTGTTTCTAGTTTTTTGTAAATTTATATCAAAATGGCAGACCCATTAACTTTCTTAAGGACATACAATATTAATAAAAAAGAAATTATAATTAAGGACAATCACATATTATTTGGTGACTTATCTTGGCCAAAAACTGTGAATACAAACTTCTTGATGTATGGGTAAGTAAACGAGTATACAATTCATATACTATTGCCTACATAAGCAACAGTTCACAACTAAATGCAAGTATTATCTAATGTTTAATTCATTCATTAGCATCAAAATAGTTAGTAGCATCTAGTATCAATATATTTATTTTGTGAATGTACTTACATATTTCTTATATGCTGTTCTAGTTCTGGTAAAGATGGTGCACCAAAAGAATATTACACATTAGAATGTCTATTATTTCTATTAAAGAATGTTACTCTCACACATCCAGTATATGTGCGGCAAGCAGCTGTAAGTAATTGAATATTGTTTGAAAATCAATCATCTGATTTGATTTTATAATATTGTTTTGAATTATTAGGCTGAAAATATACCAGTTGTAAGAAGACCAGATCGAAGGGAGCTTCTAGCTTACTTAAATGGCGAATTATCTACATCTGCTAGTATCGATCGCAGTGCTCCTCTTGAAATTCCAACTCAGGTTAAATTTAAATTTATACACTTTACATTTTCTTGTTTTTACAATTAGGTTTGTATGTTTAATATATTGAATAGGTTAAACGAAGTGCTGTTGAAGATGTCCAAGAATCAGTTGCAAAAAAACCGCGTATGGAAGATACTTTACAAGTTCAAAGGGTTAAACAGCAGTTGGCTGCACGTTTGGATGCTCCTAAGGAATCTGCTGTCAATGTTGATAATATCAAGTAAATATTAAATAAATGCATTATTAAAAAATGCTGTTAAACATAGAATTTACTAGTCTGGATTTATTCACATTATATAAATTCAATACAATATCTTAGGCTTAAAAAATAAAATTGATTTTGTATAATTGTTCTTAAAAGTCCTCATTCAAATTATAAATTTATTAAATAAAATAATATTAGTCAATATATGTTTACCGTCAAAGCATAGTGCAATCATTTAGATCTATAACCGCAAGTCTAAATGACTTCGAATAAGTTGAAAAAAATGTGTATGATAATAATATAGATTTTAATAATTTTTAATAGATCACTTTCGGAAGCTATGTCTGTTGAAAAAATTGCTGCAATTAAAGCCAAACGTTTGGCAAAAAAACGTACTACCATTAAAGGACATGATGATATTGGTCTTGGTCCAGATCTTAGAGTTATGTTAGATTTTGATGTAGATATAACAAAGGACATCATTAAACGAGAAAGAAAATGGAGAACTCGTACTACTATTCTACAAAGCAATGGAAAAGTAATTAACAAATATAGTTAATTTGAGTATTATTTTATTTTATTATTTTGAAAGAGATTATAGACATATATATGTATTAATTTGTGTTTAAGGTTTTTGGAAAGAATATTTTTGCAATACTTCAATCAATAAAAAACCGTGAAGATGGGAGGTCACGTCCATCACATAGTATGTCAACTACACCACGTGTAGCACCTCCTAAACCAACTATACCACAGCCAACTGTTTATAATCGTTATGATCAAGAAAGATTTATTAAATCAAGAGAAGGTTAGTCAATTTCTTAAATATTTGTTTCATTAATTTTGATACTTAATTAAAATTCTATTTAACTTGAAAATATTAATATTTAGATACGGAAGGCTTTAAAATTGATACTATGGGTACATACCATGGTATGACATTAAAATCTGTGACTGAAGGAACGGTTCCAAAAAAACCAGTAGCTACTGTCACTCCAGTACAACAATCTTCTCGGCCTGGGCCACATGTAAGTTCAACTAGATGTAATGATAATTATAAATTGGGCATGTTGGGTAGTTTAACTTATTTTTAATTTATTTATTTTGAAATAATATTAGATTTTTAATTGTTTTTAAAAGTTTACGGAAAACGAAATTTTGGTGAGTTAAAAAAAAAATTTTTATTAGTATAATAATTTTTAATATTTAGTAAAATTAATGGGTTTTATGTCTTAAAATATTATATTTATTATTTTAAAAAATATAAAATTTCTACTTTTTTTGTATAGTATGTAAAACAAGATAAAATTGAAATGATTTTGATAAATACTTGATTTGCTTATTAAAGTAGAAAATATTGTTTAAGTTAAAAATTCATCAAAATATCAATTAGATTGAATTTTCAATTGATAATTATGGTTACTCGAATTATCTATATATTGATTTTCAATGCATTGCTTATAGTTGTTACTTCATGTCTCTGTTGGTACTGAAAATTTCACTGAATAATGAAAATAAAAATTGTTCCTTTTTTCTCTTAAATTTTCTTGTATTTTATTATATTTTACTATTAGGTTGATGTTATAACCATACATTAAAGCCTAAATAACTATTCAACTATGTGTGATGTTTGTTAATTTAATAAAATAGTAGTATTGATGTATGGTTCAATAGGTATATATATTTTTTAAGGGGAAGGAGATTATTGGTGGATATTATTGTTTGTATTTTGTTATTAACTGCATGTCTAAACTATTCAATCTAATAATTTTATTGTTATATAATACATAGGCCAAATTGACTGCTTCACAACAAGCTAAACAAAGAATATCAAGAACTCCAATTATTATCATCCCTGCTGGACAGTCTTCATTGATATCTATGCATAACGCCAGAGACATTTTACAAGATCTGAAGTAAGTATTTATTATTTTTAACACATGAAAATATTTTTAAATTTATGATATGTAAAGGTAATTGTTTTTTTTTTTTTTTAGTTTTTATTTGTTTTTACAAATTCTCAATAATATTATCAAATTACCTAATTGTTTAAATTAATGTATTATATATTAAAATTGTACCCTACAATTTATTTAGCAGTAAATTCTGATTAGATAATCAATTATTTTTTTAAAGATTTGTTTCAACTGAAGAAAAAAAACAAAATGGATCAAAACGTGATAATGAATTACTCTTACAACGTCGTAAGGATGGGGGCATGACAGTGCCTTACCGTGTGGTTGACAATCCTCAAAGACTTTCACAAGGGGAATGGGATAGAGTGGTTGCGGTATTTGTTATGGGACCTGCATGGCAGTTTAAAGGGTGGCCATGGGATGGCAATCCTGTAGAAATTTTTTCTAAAAGTAAATTATGCCATTTAAATATTTTATATTTTTTTTATACCCTGGTTTAATTTACTTTTATTTTACATTAAAAAAAATAAAAATATTATTTTAATGAATGGTTAGTAATATTTGGGATATTCATCAATTTAAATAATTAAACTATGGTACTTGGTTTAAAAATAATTCTATAATTTTTATCTAAACAGACAATTAAGTTTAATTTGAATTTAA